CATATCCAAAGTCTTTTATCCAGGCCAACATCATTTCTTTCACCTTTTCCTCTTCCAATTTGCATTTTAATAATACTTTGTAAATTTTTAAAATCAATTTCTCATTCATTCCTAATAATACTTTATCTAATTTTGTTTTCCGTTTACTAATACCCCATTCTTTCATAACTTTACTATACCTCAATTGTAATTGTAGATAGGCCCACCATTATATCTCAAATCCCAAATCTCAACTCCTGTCTTGTTTTTAAATTACCCTTCTCATCTAATATGTCCTCATATGTGATGACCTGCCCTCGACGCAATAAATGTAGGTACATTAACGCTTCTAATGTAGATAGCCAAGTTGGTATTTCAACGTAAATTTATCATTTAGTTTTATTCCATACATTTAGTAAGGTCTGCCTAATTTTATGCCTTTGAAAATATCCATGAATTTGTAGTTTGTCTTGCCACATAAAGGCATGCCATCCTGCCTGTAGAGTATATCCTTCTAATGTTAACATTGTTTTATTTTTAACACTTATCCAATCTTTAACCCAAGTCAGAGAGGCCACTCTATATTTCCCAATCAGGTAGGCCAAATCCTCCTCTTTCGGTAGTGTCCTGAAACAATTTCAGTTTGATTCTGGGCTTTTTTTCTGCCATATAAATTTTGATACTAGGTTATCCAATTGATCAAAAAAATTCTTTAATTTTACCACAGCGTTTTGGAATACAAACAATAATTTTGGTAATATGTTCATTTTTATGGACACAATTCTCCCCATAAAGGAAAGTCTTAAGTTGCTCCATTTCCTGAGGTCTTCCATTATTTTTTTAATTAGTGGGGTATAATTATCCTCTTTGAGGGTTATACATTTATTTATCATCTGGATGTCCATTATCCTTGTTAAATTTTCCTTTTGTGCATATGTCATATTTTTTGTAAGTATTTTAGTTCTTTCCTTATTAATTTTTAGCCCCGCTACCTCTCCAAATTCTTCTAATTGCTCTATCCTGGAAAATTCTGACAAGGATATGTTTTATGCACCTACGATGTGACTACTGGAGATTTAAATATGAGAATATTTCATTAAAGAGACCCCTGAATGCTATGATACAAGATTGAACACATAAAGGGGATTTAAGGAGGCTCTGGAAAGTTTCTGAGATTATCTAAAAGAACAGATTGATTAACTATGGAATACAAAAAATTGTGAACATCACAAAGTATTATGAAGATCGTAGTGGAGAACAGGTAGCACTATTATTCTTGGATTCTAAAAAGGCCTTTGATAATGTAAAATGGAGTTTTGTTCTGCAACAAACTAAGTACATGGATTTTGGGCCAAAATTTCTAAATGTAGTATCAACAATATATCACAAACAAGAAGCCAGGATATTGATAAACGATCATACAACAAATAAATTTGAGATACAAAAAGGAATTAGACAGGGATGTCCATTATCGCCATTGTTATTTATTTTGACATTAGAGGTATTAACAAGAATAATTAGGAAAGAACCGGAAAGAAAAGGACTAAAAATAAAGAAATAAGAATATAAATTACAAGCCTTCGCTGATGATTTGGTTTTTATTTTAGAAGATCTGCAAAATTTGGGACCAAAACTGATAGTTTTTAGATAAATAGTTCCAGTAATTTAAAAATACCTTTCCAGAACAATGCCTGCTCAGTTTAAGAGTCCAATTTTCTGTATTTTTACAATTTTTCTTTTCTCTCCTTGATTCCTTTCTTTCAATTCTGAAGTTTTTCTCACAGGGCTTAGTCGCTGCTTTAGCAAATAATTGTTAGGTTTTAAATAGAAAAGAATCCTCTTTCCCAATTCCAAACACGGTTCACTTAACTCCGCTTAGCTGTTCCTCAGCTGCCCCAGCTTTGTGGCAGCCATTTTTAGGCTGCCTCTTCTCCTTGTCGTGGCTGAGAGGGGAAGAAAACCCCAGGTCCAACAGGAGAGTTACAACTCTCCGCGGTCTCACAGGGCACCCATCCTTGCTTTGCCACCCTTACAGGATGGCTTTGGCTCCTTTTGGAGCCCACCAACATTCACAGAAAACCCCACACACAGACCAATATTTACATTTTGATTCCCACCACCCACTGGAGCACAAAACAGGAGTCATCAGAACCCTACATCACTGAGCTGAGAGTCTGCCAACCACCAAAAAATGGGAAAGAAAAAGAATGAAAACACACCGAGAAAGCACTCAGAACATGTGGCTCTTCCAAGTGAGCCTTCATCAAATCTCAAAAAAGACCCTACAGGAGTTTCTCCATAACAGATCATGAAAACAATAAACAAAGCAATGTTGTCATTCCATACGTTGCAGGCATATCGGAAAAGCTCAGGAGGATCTTCAACAAGATAACGTACATGTACACTTCAAACCCCAAAATACACTAAGGCAGAAGCTTGGCTATACCAAAAATAAAACATTCAGACATAAACTGAGCAATATGGTATATGAGAACCTCAATTGTTGGGGCAATATGCTGACTGTGTAAACCACTTAGAGAGGGCTGTAAAAGTATTATAAATGGTATATAAGTCTAAGTGCTATTGCTATTGGTTTATGCAGTACAATGCAGTGAGCCATGTGCAGATCTGTACATTGGGGAAACAAAACAACCACTTCATAAGCGCATGGTGTTGAGGTAATTCCCTATTAGAATGAGCGTATACAGGGAGACGTATTTTGACAGGTGTTTGAATAATACACACACAGCACACAGATACACTGTACAGTAAATGTAGGTTTTTACTTCCAGAAAGGTTTAAGCAAAGTCCAAAATAAGCAATCCAAAGTCATTCACAAATCAGTTTTCATCCAGGGATAATCCAAATATCAAATTCCAGTGTCAAAAACAGTTCAGTATCAGACTTACATTAAATTCATGAATATCAGTCAATTAGGAAAAATGGAGCAAGAGCAATACTTTCCAACGAAAGGAAACAGAGATGGAGACCCACTCTCTTCTGAGATTAAGACTAAGACAATCCAAGTTTCTGGCTCCATCTTATGGCTGTTTGAAAAACCACACCCAATTGCAGTTTTTGCAATCTCTTAAAGACATAGTACTAAAATGTTTATCCTGGTTTATATATTTCTAACCCAAATACCTGTTAGGTGACTTATATTACTAACACATGGCACAATATAGGAAAACAAACATATCAGGACTAGATTCAGCAGTTCATCTGCATTTAAAAGACACAAGCCATTTGTTTGAAGAAAGCAAAGTTCACATTTTGGACAGAAGACTGCTGGTTCATGGTTCCAAACCAAACCAACAAAAGAAGAGGCCACACTGTGAGCAGAACAGGTCTCTTTACCGGAGTCTCGGATGTTGACAGAGGGGTCAAAGTGGCCATCTATGTCAAAATTGAATAGCCTTCTATTGTTTACGTGGTAAACAAAAGAAGTAAAAGGGTTTCTAGCCAGCATTACTGGCTTCTGCTAGCCAGCTGGCTATATGGACTTGGCACGCTTCACCCTCCTGTTCCTAGTTGTTCCTGGCTGGCTCCCGCAAGTACTTTTTTGGCCTGGCTCCAGCAACCATTCTTAGAGCCCAGTTGCTCTCTGGCTGATTCCAGCAAGCACTCTTCAGGCCTGGATGGCTTCTGAATTGACTGCGATGGCTTGCCTTCCTGGCTCCTTTCCCAGTGTAAGTCCCATCACCTGACACCTATCTGAGGCCCCATGCATCCCCTCCCCCTGCGCATGTGTGGCAACTCCGAAATGGCGCATTATGGCCACTTTGAACAGCGTGCTGTCTCGGATGTTGACAGAGGGGTCAAAGAGGCCATCTATGTCAAAACTGAATAGCCTTCTCTCAACAGAGGGAGAGGGGATATGACATCATCTGTCTCCAATCTACAACAGTCCTTTCAACAGTTCCAAGATGGCTCCACATCCATTTGCACCACTCAGGTGAACCTGATGACACAGATAAATCTCCAGGTGACCTTAACAACATGCTAAAATAATGCCAATGTCCAGCTGCCTGGAAAGAGTATAAATCCTTCCATTCCCCACCATCCACTCAAAACTGAAGAAGTTTCTTGGATGAGAAGAAAAACCAGAAAGTCCAATTGCCACTTGAAAAAGCACCTTTGGGATAAGCTCTGGGAGAGAAATGAAAAAGAGGAAATGTCTCCCATGTGTTGGGAAGTGCGTTGTCTAGATGTTTACATAAATACTGACACTTGCCTTTTTTTTCCTCAAAAGCTATTCATGATTCTTATGCAATGCTGTTTTACAAATGAAATATCTACTGTATAATTTTTTTCCTATATTTCCCAAGGGTGGAACCACAAAAGTATCAGTCCCTTGGTGCTGCTCTCGCACCCCTGCCAGCAAAGACTAACAAGGCAGGCACCTCCAAATGAAGGAGATCACAACAGGAGCTGCAAATAAACCTGAAGCCTCTGTGCTCAGAAACACAATGTAAGGACTTGTGTCTCCTCTCTCTTCAAGGAAGCAGAACTCTTTATTTTATAATATTCTTTTTCTTCTTGCTAATGGCAAATGTCAATGGGATTTACTTTATCAATGGTTAGACAAGAAGATAGAGAAATATAACATAAATATAATAGTTAATATAATATAATGTAATGATATGCTGTAAGTGATTACTATAGAAATAATTATGTTATTTTATACCAGACGGGAATGAACGATGCTATAAACTAGGCTTTATAGTAGTTGATTCTTCCTCAAAAAGGATGAGGTGAATTTGAAATTACAATCTGATAATGATTTAATAACAATATGATACTAAGTGAATAATAATTATATATAATGTGAATTGTAATATAAAAACAGGATGGAATGACTATTGATATTGTGCACATGAGATATGTACCAACCGACACACTGTATAATGGAAAGATTTTATTTAATGTTGTATGTTTTGTGTTTGTTTATGTTTGTTGCTTAAAATTTAAAAACATTATAAAAAAGAAAAAGAAAAGAAAGCAAAACTTTTGAAGCAGGAGGGATTTGAAAAGGAAACTTTTATTGAGACAATGATAGCAAGTAGAGCAAGTAAGATCTGAAGTTCCTACTCAGAACCATTAGGTTAAAATTTGTAGAAACCCATCCCCTCTGTCCAGTCTAAGGCAAGCCAATCCACAGGTAGAAAGTTGTTGTGAGAACTCAAGAGTTGAGAAGGTGGTAAGAAATTGTTCTCAGACACAGCTTGCTCATTCTGTTGGAGCTGAGATAAAGAGATGGCCACAGGCAATTCCTTCCCCTTCCCATGAAAGTACATCAAAGTTGAGAAAAGAACAGAAATGCAAAAAGGTCATAAAATGGCATTCAGGCCCTCCCTGCCAAAATGGCAGAGTTCCAATAGAAATCTATGGGCACCTGACACATAATCTCTTTTCTCCTCAACTCAATATTCCTACAGCTCCTCTCCGTGAAGGTCACCTGAAGGGCATTAACAACCTTTACATCTGAAATTTTACACTGCTTTTGTCACTACACCAAACACCCCCAATATATTTGCTATTCCTGTGGTTTCTTCCATGTTCATGCCTCATTCTTGACACAATCTGAGCAGACAAGCTTGTGGTGTAATGAATTTCTGGAATTGTTAGGAAAGAGTAAATGTTGATCCCAATGCAATTGTTAGGAAAAGATAAACAATTTCTCTTCTCCTCTTGTTTTCTCCTTATATGAGGAGCCACAATCTCTAACTACAGCTTGAGTGCTCTTATCCCGAAGAGACACTGATTGGGGAATATGGGAATGAAAATATCGAGAATACCCAGGGAGAAGGCGGGGACTCTGCATGGGACATTTCTATAATTTATTAGGATAAAAATGGAAAAAACATTCCTAAAAAGATTTTTTCAGATTTGCACAATTTCTGCAAAAATCAATATTCAGCAACTTCTGCTGCTGATGGCCAAACAGTCCTTATAAAATTAACATGTTCCAATTTTTCTCTTTCCTCCTTCCCATCCAATAGTATAACATATTTGATGATCAAAAAGCAGGCTAATTCTTTATAGTCAAATTAAAGAGTCAATTTATCAGTTGAACTTACAATGGAACATTTCAAATGAAATTCATAAATTGACTCTTTAATTTGACCACTCATTGCTTTGATCCACATATGGATTTTCCCGTGTGTGATAAGATTGTAAAATTTCCTAAAGCATTGTTCACACTCAGGGCACTTAAATGGTTACTCCCCTTGTGTATAAGCATATTATTTAGAAGGCTATCCTTAGTACTAAAATCTTTCCGACAGTCTGGACACTCATATGGTTTCTCTCCTGTGTGAGTCCTTTGGTGAATCATCAGGCTGCAATTCTCACTGAACTTTTCCCACAGATAATATATTCAAAGGGTTTCTCTCCAGCGTGAGTAAACTGGTGTATTAATAGGTAGGAATTCCAACTGAAACTTTCCCAACAATCAGGATATTCAAAAGGGTTTCTCTCCTGTGTGAGTCTTCTGGTGTCTCATAAGGTGGGAATTCTGACTAAAACGTTTTCCACAGTCTGGACATTCAAAGGGTTTCTCTCCTGTGTGAATCCTCTGGTGTATTACCAGGTGGGAATTCTCACTGAAACATTTCCCGCAGATAGGACATTCAAAGGGTTTGTCTCCTGTGTGAGTCCTCTGGTGTCTTATGAGGTTGGAATTTCTAATGAAACTTTTCCCACAGTCAGGACATTCAAAGGGTTTTTCCCCTGTGTGAGTCCTCTGGTGTATTACCAGGCTGGAATTATCAATGAAACTTTTCCCACAGATAGGACATTCAAAGGGTTTCTCTCCAGTGTGAGTCCTCTGGTGTATTATCAGGTAGGAATTCTGACTGAAATTTTTCCCACAGATAGGACATTCAATGGGTTTCTCTCCTGTGTGAGTCCTCTTGTGTCTCATGAGGTCAGAATTCTGACTAAAACCTTTTCTACAGTCAGGACATTCAAACAGTTTCTCTCCTGTATGAGTACTCTGGTGTCTCATGAGGTGGGAATTCTGACCAAAACCTTTTCCACAGATAGGACATTCAAACAGTTTCTCTCCTGTGTGAGTCCTCTGATGTATTAACAGGTAGGAATTCCGACTGAAACTTTTCCCACAGATACGACATTCAAAGTGTTTCTCTCCTGTATGAGTTCTCTGGTGACTCACAAGGTTGGAATTCTGACTGAAACTTTTCCCACAGATAGGACATTCAAATGGTTTCTCTCCTGTGTGAGTCCTCTGGTGTATAATAAAATGGGAATTTATAATAAAACCTTTCCCACAATCTCGACATTTATACGGTTTCTCCATGGAGTTAATCCTCTGATGTATTACCAGGCTGGAATTTTGACTGGAAATTCTTCCACGGTAAGGACATTGAAAGGGTTTTTCTCCTTTGAGAGTCCTCTGGTATATCACCAAATTGGAATTACAACTGAAAGTTTTCCCATAATCAGGATGTTCAAAGAATTTTTCTCCTATGCGAGTCCTCTAGTGTATCACAAGGCTAGAATTCTGACTGAAACTTTTCCCACAGAAAGGACATTTAAATTATTTTTTTCCTGTGTGAATCTTTGGTGTCTGAAATGGAAATTTCTAGTGAAGCTATTCCCACAATTGAGACACTCATACAGTCAATCCACTGATGCATCACAGGATTGCAATTGAGACTGAAACTTTTTCCACTCAGGACATTCAAAGGGTTTCACTCCTGTGTGAGTCCTTGAATGCTTCACCAGGCTGGAATTCTCACTGAAACTTTTCCCACAGAAAGGATATTCAAATGGTTATTTTCCTCTGTGTGTCCTTTAAGTGTCTCATGACTTGGGAACTTCTAATGAAACTTTCACACAATCTGCACGCTTCATCCCTGCTGTGAGTCCACTGAGGTATCACCATGTTGCCATGCTCACTAAAGCATTTACCACATTGGGAGCACATTTATGGTTTTCCTCTTGTGTGGTTGCTTCCATGAACCACAAAGGAGGTGTTTTGACTAGTTTTTACTATATTGAGATAATTTGTATGGCTTTTTTCCTGTCTGGCTTCTCTTCTGCATAATTAGCTGTGATTTGCAATCCGTGCTTTTCTCACAATAGGCAAATCTATGGAGCTTTTCCACAGCTGATATTTTTGAGGTCAAAAATATGGACAATGCTTTGTTTAGTGATGTTTTCATTCATGCTTTTTTCTTCCTCACAGGTTGTGGCCTGCATTCCTGTCTATTCTACGTGGCTTTACTATTGACGGTTTCCGCCCCACTGACTTCCAGATATTTCCCACTTGCTGAATGAAAAATAATCTCCTTTGCCTTCATGTAATGTATCCTTGAGTTCTGCATAATCTGCTTATTCCTGCTTGAAATCTTTCTTGATTTTCTCTCTGTTGTCTAATAGTTGTTTGAGGAGGATGAGAATTGTGTGTTTTTATGAAGGAAATGGAAAATATTTTGATTTATAGCTCAATTTTCTTCCCTTTTCAACGTTGCTTGTTGTTTAGTTGTCCCAGGTGCTCTTATTGTCATCCTCTTTGTCTGTAAGATTCAAAGAAAAGTGTAACTTTAATTGTTTATAAAATGGTTAGAGATGATGTTAAAAAAGCAAAAAGTATACAAGGAAAAAGCAAACACACCCCAATGCTGCCATGTTTTCCCCAAAATAAGACCCACCCTGAAAATAAGCTCCAGCCTAATTTTTGGAGTGGGCCTAATATAAGCCCTACCCCAGAAATAAGCCTGGGAGTATGGGTGTTGCCAGCATGAGAAATGGCGAACATGCAGGGAGGACGGGGGGACGGTGTCTGGCTGCAGCTGAAGCCTGCCAGCCCCTTGGGCAGTGTAACAACTACTAATTCCGAGTGTGGAGACATGTGTTGTGTCTCCTTTGTAGAAGGGAGGGAGGAAAAAAAGGCCTGTTCTGATTGCAGTGTTGCAGCAGAGCACGGAATGGTAGGAGAACATAAAGCCGCTTGATTCCTGTGCATGTTTCTTCACTTTTCACTAAGTGTAAACCTGTGTGTCTGTTTGTGTAGCGGAGGGTCACGTGGGAGGGCGGTAAGGGCTCTGCAGAGAGAGGGGAGCGAGAACAAAGGCGTGGAGCTATGCATTAACCCAGCGGGCGGTGGGAAAGGTTTCTTGGGCACCACACACAGCTCTATCCTCCGCCTTTCTTGCTAGGTTCCCATGCTGAGGGGCGATGGAGCAACCCGCACACAGCTGGGAGCATGACTTTTGCCCGTCTCTTTCTGGATGCGGCACTTCTGCTTGTTGGGCTGCTAACCGAAGCTGGCAGCTCCGTGGCCAGCTGCTTTGCTTTTTCCCTCTTTTTCCTCATGGGGCACTCACAAGAGGCTTATGCGGTGGCACCAGCAGTAGGCAAAGGCAGAAACATGGGGAGGCACAGGCGATCCCAACATGCTGCTTACTCCATCGCACCATCTCTCGGCTTGACTGTGACTGTGCTGAACAAGCCCCAGCATAGGGCGTCGGAATCGCGTGCTACCTCATGCCTCTAACTACTACTGTTGCTACCACGCAAGCCTGCTGTAAGCCAGGCATCTGTATAGCTTTTCCCACCTGACCTTTCACCCACCTGACCTTTCACTCTTCCCCCACCTCACCTTTCACTCCACACTCAGAATTAAAGATATCTGTACTGTGTCAAGAAGCCCGAGACATGCTGAGAGTTTGGCACGTTGCAGCCACGGAAAACAGACAGTGCGATGGAAAGGGCGGGGCTAGTGGTAGTGCTTAAAAAAAAAAAGATTTCTCCCAAAATAAGCCCGAGTGTTTATTTTCAAGCCCCCCCCCCCAAATATAAGAACGGGTCTTATTTTCGGGAAACATGGTAAAATCGTCTCTTCTTTATGATTCATTTGACACATGGAAGACTACAGAGATCTATGTTCAAATATCCATTCAATCAAATTCAGTTGATTAGTTGGATCAATCACAACTTCTTAGCAATGCAAAGGAGTATCAACAATTATACATTGTTGGAGACAGATTGTGCCGAACAGTGCTGGAGACAGATTGCAGACATATCCCTACGGAGAGAAATACAGATATATCAAACTACATATGTATTCATGTGAAAATCTATCTCTTTCAAAGTTGACAATATGTCCCAAAATGGTTACTTAAACCTTCTGAGCTAAATTTAGAGATGTGGGAGCTTTAACTGATACAGTGGTTGCCGAAAGCCTCTGCAAGATTTGAAGCACCACTTTTGTTCATGGAAATCCTCAGCAGCAAATAAGAGCGGAAAAACACTGTCCACAAGTACTCTGGTGACATCCCCCCTCAAGTAGTCCACACGTAACCTACTGCAATTAGAACTGATATCTGTGTTACTAAGCAGCCCTATCATTGAACAATGACTTGACTCAGAAATCTAATGGGGTTCCAATCTTCAAAAAAAAAAGGGGGGGTGTATTTACAAAACCACAGACCAACCAGACTGACATCAATGCCTGAGAAGATCCTGAAAAAGATAACCAAGCAACGGATCTACAAACACCTAGAATCAAGGAAACTTATGATCAGAAGCTAACATGGGTTTGTTGAAAATAGATCATGCCAAACAAATCTTATTTCATTCTTTGAGACTCAAGATCACATGAAATATAAGTACCAATTTATAATGGTTTGGTAAGATCCCACTTAGATGGAAACTAATCAAGGAGAGAAGCAGCCTAGAACTAGGGAGAAATTTCCTGACTCTGAGAAAAAATTAACCAGTGGAAGGGTTTGGTGGTTTTTAAACACACCGGACAGACATTTGTCTGAAATATTACTGGGTCTCCTGCTTGAGCTGGTTCCTTCCAACCCTGTCACAAACCTCCAGTGACGGAGCCCCCACAACCTCTGGAGGGGAGCCATTCCCAAAGGATCCACATTCACTTGAAAGAGGCTTTTTAGATCTCCCCCCCAGCAGAAAATTGCAGCCCCCCAGCGGGCTCCGATCTGGGGAGGGAAGGAACCTGCAGGAGCAGCAGCCGACCTGCTTCGGCCCAGTTGCTTCTCTGCTTCCAGGCCGCGGAGGGAACCGAACAGCCTGACTTGCTCCCGGAGTCCCCTCCCACCTGCTGCCCCCAACTCACCTTTCAGCTGCTGCTTCGACGCAGGGAAGAGCAGAAAAGACACTCGACCGACCCCCTACCGCCCATGAACGATCAAGCCGAGGAAGACCTTCCACGCTTCTCCTCTCCTCCCATCCTTTCTAGCAATATGGTACTCGATGGTTTTAACTCTTTTATTATATACCGTGCACTTTTCGGGCACAGTTGTTGCCTACCTGATCGCCATCTCCACATAAGAGGCGGAAAAACATGCATTTTACCTCTATTACGTAAGGCGTTTGCAAGTTGTTTTCATTATTTAAATGCTATCAAATCGGTTTTGACTTCTAGCAACCGACCTTTGCAACTGAACCAAGTGGAATAGTGAAGTGTGAGGCTACTTAGCTTTCGCAGATTAGCTTCGTGCTGAGCCCTAAAAGTTCATGAAGGTTTTACAGAATTATGCAATCAGTTTTCTTAGGGGTAAGTGACTCAAAGTGATCAAAACCTCTCTACACCCCAAAACTTTATGACTGATTTCCTCTGGCTCCCAATGATTTAGGGCATACATTTTCTTGTTTCTGTCATAACTGCAGGTTTTATCACATTATATTATTCCTTTCATTATTCAATAAAGTTCATCTTGATTTATATTATCGTCCCCTTTCATTGCTAATTCAATCTTGCCACCCATTTACCTTATACATTTTTCCTATTTTATTCCCTTTAGCCCATTATAAAAATAATATAGCCATTTTTTAAATTATCACATTCTACATTAACAACAATAACCCCCTATCTACTATGTATCATATCTTTTATTTCTTAAAGAAAGGACCTTGTGAAACAACTCTGTTAAAATGCTGTCCAACCATAAATTGGAGGGGCATCAAGGTATTTAAATTTGTACTGGAACAGTGGAGGTTGTGTAAAGAGTCAGAACACACCCTTACAGCTGATTGATTAAAGAGATTTGGCTACTGCATGAGGCAATCTAAGCTGTGATTGGTTGCCTTGCGTGAAAAGGGGGAGTATCCTTGTTTCCCGCCTTTTTGCCATCTGTGCTCTCATGGCTTTATCTGATCTTCCTGCTGTGTTGATTTTACCTCACCAGCTGCACAATTCCTTGACACAAATATCTTCCTTGTACCATCTCCCACTTTCTTATGCTCCTGTGAATTAGAGAGGTTTTTTTCTGAGTCTCTTCCATAAGAATTAGCTGTAATGTCTTCGACCAAATGGGATTATTCACTTCATCATTGGAGGCTTTTAAGAAGATACTGGACAGTCACTTATCTCAAATGGTATGAGGTTGGACTAGAAGATCTCCAAGGTCCATTCCAGATCTATTCTATTCTGATGATATTGGCTCTGAGCTCTGTTGTGTAAAATAACCCCAAAACTTTATTGATTCCCTTTTCATTCAGGAACTCATGATAGCATAGGAAGCATTTCCTGGGTAGCATGCTGTAATTTACAGGATAAACATCCCCCGGACAGCCTACCTACATACTTTTTGCCTCTGGATATTCCATAGCTCATAGAAGGTGTCTTTTATCAGCTTTGGAAGCCATATTGAGATTCAGTGCAGCTCCCATGCTGCGCTGGATTCAATTGAGTAGCTCTAAGTAGACAAAAAAAAATTATTCAGTTAGTTCAAGATCATTGAGTATGGCACAGAATGAAATAAGGATCTTACTTTAGAACAGATCATGATTGGGCCATGTGATGTGATGACAGCAGCAGGGATGGATTTGTAGTTTTGAATATTGCAAGGAAGCCCGAAAACTTTCAGGATTCCACAGGTGTGCCAGTTTACTATCCAAATAAAGGTACCTTTGAG